TTACTTTGATTGCAAATGCTGAACTTTGCATTCTTGGGATAAAGCTCACTTCGTCATAATGTGTTACTCTTTTTATATAGTTCTTGATTTGATTTCCTGATATTTTGTTAGGAATTTTCCTACTTATGTACCTGATAGATATTGGTGTATAATTTTCTTTTCTTTTAATCTGCTGGTTTTTTGTCAGGGTTACATTGGCTTCATAAAACAGGTTTTGGTATGTTCTTTCATCCTATGTTTTCCAAAACCACCTGGGTAATATTAGTTTCATTTCTTTTTAAAATGTTTACCACTAACGTCATTAGGGCCTGGAGATTTCTCTGAAAAAAACTTTTAATTATAGATTCAGTTTCTAAGAGAGATGGAACTACTCACCTCTTCTATTTAACTTTATGTTATTTTAGATAAATCATGAGTTTTTTTTCCAAGAAATTTTCCCACTTCATCTAAGTGGTCAAATTTATTAGCATAAAGTTGTTCATTATTTTCTATTATCACCTTGTCAGTACCTTTAGGTCTTATAATGATGTTCTTTTGTCCTTCTAAACGTTAGGAATGTGTGCATTCTCTCCTTATTGTCTTTATCAATCTTTTTTTTTAAGATCTTATTATATATTTGAGAGAGTAAGAGAGAGCACAAGTTGGGGGGGAGAGAAGAAGGGGGAAAAGCAGACTCCCCAATAAGCAGGGACCCCAATGTGGGGCTCGAACCCAGAACCTTGGGATCAGGACCTGAGCCAAAGGCAGATGGTTAACCAACTAAGCCACCCGGGTGCCCCTATTGCCTTTTTCAGTTTTGACAAAGGTTTGTCAATATTTGTATCCTTTCAAAAACTAAGTTTTGGGCTTATGATATTATTCAGTAATAATTTGTGCTTTTATCTTCATTTTGGTCATTGTGTATCTGTATCTCCAAATATATTAGACACATTTCAATACTCAAATGTGTTTGAGTGACCTGTTCATGCACAGAGGCTAATCACTTAGGAAATGAACTTCTGTTTGTCAAAAGTTACAGATTGATTTTCAATAGAAGCTGTTTAATTAACTGCTGGATACTATTCAATTAAGGGAAAAAAGCAAAACAAACCCTTTAATAAACAAGAAATACATATAGAAACATTAATATTATTTGATATTACTTAAATTTTACCGTTAAAACTAAATGTGAGAAATTATTCAAGTTCAAGCACTGTAAAAAAACATTTTATCTTCATGGTATATTAAATAATCAGTTGCTCATGGGTAAAATGTTTCAAAACCTATTGAGTATTAATGGAAAAAAAGAATCACAGACTTAAACTTTGAGACACTGAAGAAAGTGGTTCACAATTGTATATTTAAATGTATGCCACTGTTAATTAGTAAATTAGTTTTTTAGTTAATTTAATGGATTTTTTTTTCCTAAGAAGCTGACATAAAGTTGGTGATGTTTGTAATTGATTATATCTCTGAACTCAAGAAGTATGTATTTTGCAGAGGAATTGAAATTTTCATTAATATTGATGACCTTTTAGGAAAAGTAAGGAACCAAATTAAAGCAAGATGTGGAAAAAATTCTGAGCTGAACAATAACCATGGAAGAAAAAGATGAAGTTGTCAAAACATAAAAGCTGCTGGCCCCAAGGGAGCCACTTCTCAGGCATGCTTGTTCAGATCATAAAGAAAAGATTATATCTTTGTTATTTAAATTTCTTTTGATCTTATAAACAGATGTAAAGCTTCCTTATTAATATTAGAAAGCTAGCATAATCCTGATACCTAATTCTAGTAGAAATAACACAGAGGGAAAAAACCAAAACACATTGTATGCTCATTTATAAATGTTAATTCACAAATCCCAATCGAAAATTTAATTCTGAAATATAAATTTCAGAAACTCAATGGCTAATATTAGGATTTCTCGTAATTTCAGTAATTAATTGAACATATCTCAAATGTCTGATGGAAAAAGAAAAACGGGGAAAGCTGAATTACACAAAGTCAAAGAAATTTCCTGGCTGCAAGTCTCCTCACAACCTTAATTTGTTCAAATACAAGGAAAAATTGTCTTCACTCTTTTCAAACTTAATAATCACATTTTTTTTTAGATTTTAGTTTTTTTAAAGTAATCTACACCCAATGTGGGGTTTGAACTCACAACCTTGAGATCAAGAGTTGCTTGCTCCATCCACTGACTAAGCCAGCGAGATTCCCCCATAAAACTTTTTTTTAAAGAATTTATTTATTTATTTGGCAAAGAGAGAGAGAGAGATCACAAGCAGGCAGAAAGGCAGGCAGAGAGAGAGGGGAAGCAGGCCTGCTGAGCAGAGAGCCCGGTGCGAGGCTCGATTCCAGGACCCTGAGACCATGACCTGAGCCGAAGGCAGAAGCTTAACCCACTGAGCCACCCAGGCGCACCCCCCCATAAAACTTCTTTAATGCTAGAAATAATGCGCTTTACATCTCAGTTGGAGAAATGTTGAAAATGGCAATACGTGAAAGGGGGATAGCAAGGTGATCATTTTGATAGATGTTAATAAGGCAAATGACAAAAAAGAAAAAGAGGAGTAAACATATTTACATATTTTAAAATGCTTGGAGTACTGGTGCAAGGAAAGAAACAACAGAAGTAAATATGAAAAGGAAAAGAATATATAGTATGACTTTATAATGACTTGTTATCAGGAAAATAACTCAAAAAAGTCAATCAGTAAATGTTAAAATCATAAAAATGTTCAATAAGGTGATCAGTCAGCAGAAAATAAAAAGTATATTAATAAAAAATAAACTATTAGGAAATAGGTTGGAAAAAACTCCCATTTTCAATAACCACAAAATATGGAAAATAAATAAAAAGGAAAGGAATAAAATTATCATAGACTTAGATAAACAAATGATTCAACTCCAATAAATGACATAAATGAAGACTTGGATAGTTAGAGAGACAACATGACTCTGACAAAAAGAATATCAAGTTATCTAAAGAAATGCAATATAAGAAAAGCAAGTAGAGTTGAGACATCTGGCTATGTGTTTGGGGGGGAAAGAAACAATTAGTGCTCCACTTCACATACTACGTAAATATAAATACCATGTGGATTAAAAATGTGATTACCCGGATAAGTCATGTAATATTCACATAATCTGTATAGTAGGGAATGCCTTTCTAAGCCCAATGCCAGAAGCAGAACCCATAAAGGAAAATTATATCTTTGTTATTTAAATTTCTTTTGATCTTATAAACAGATGTAAAGCTTCCTTATTAATATTAGAAAGCTAGCATAGATTCAGTTGTAAAGCTTCCTTATTAATATTAGAAAGCTAGCATAGATTCAGTTGTCAAAATGTTGAAAAACTTTTGATCTTATAAACAGATGTAAAGCTTCCTTATTAATATTAGAAAGCTAGCATAGATTCAGATGTAAAGCTTCCTTATTAATATTAGAAAGCTAGCATAGATTCAGTTGTCAAAATGTTGAAAAACTTTTTTTTTAAAGATTATTTATTTGTTTTAGAGAGAAAAAAAGAAAGCACACAAGTGGAGGTGGGGGAGGGGCAGAGGGAAAGAATCTCAAGCAGACTCCCCTCTGAGGACAGAGCCCAACACTGGGTTTGATGTCAGGACCCTGAGATCATGACCTGAGCTAAAAGCAAGAGTTGGAAGCTTAACCAACTGAGCCACCCAGATGTCCCAGAAAACCTTTTTCCTACAGCTTCTATGCAACAAAATACTCATGAACATAATTTACCAACAAACAAAAATATTTTCAAAATATACTACAAAGCATAAATATCCTTAATAAAAGATCTGATAAGAAAAGAATTAATAATAGGACAAAGGTTTTTAATACACAATTTGGAGAGAAGGGAAAATTAACCAACTGATACATGAAAATAGGCTTTACTTCATTATTAAGCAGAGGAACACAACTGACAATGAGTTACCATGCTTTACCTATGAAACTGTCGATTAGAAAACCTGATTGCTACTCATTGGTCGAGGTGATGTAGGGCAGGAGAAAGACTGGAACTTTGTTTGTGGGCAAGTTAACAACATATATACCAACATCTTTAAATACCTTAAATATCACTGTGAATGTTTTATGCCATGGGAATTTTTAGAGGTCTAAAATCTAAGCCTTTTAGTGAAAGGTTTTGCTATGAAAGTTTACTGCAATATTGTCATTTGAGTGAAAATTTGGAGAAGCACAAATGTTCATAATAGGAAATTGTTTAAATAAATAAATTGTACAAAAATAATTTATTATCATTAATTATGCTGCAAATGCAATCTTGTGATATGGAAATACTCACCTGATATATTAAAAAGAACATACAGATTAAGAAACATTAAACAGGGACACCTAGGTGGCTCAGTTGGTTAAGCGGTGGCCTTCATCTCAGGTCATGATCCTGGAGTCCTGGGATTGAGTCCCACATCGGGCTGGGCTCCCTGTCAGCAGGGAGCCCGCTTCTCTCTCTGCCCACCCCTCCCCCTGCTTGTGCTCTTTCGCCTTCTTGCTCTGACAAATAAGTAAAATCTAAAAAAGAAAAAAGAAAGAAAGAAATGTTAAACAGGGACTGACAAACAGGGACTAAGAACAGGATAGAATCACAGAGAAGACGACTCACATGGATATACACTAAGCTGTTAAATATAGCTATGTGAAGGGGTTCGGGGTGTGTTTTATTTGTGTTTTTAATTACCCATAATTTTTTTTTTACAACCAACATGCAATGTTTGTAACAACAACAATAAGAAATAAAGTGTATAATCTCAATTGTGAATAATACTACACCAAAATATTAACAATAGTTAGGACAAAAGGACTGAGGAGGCTTTTCCTTTATATTTTCATTTATAAGCTTTTCTGTATTTCCCCTTAACGGACAGGTATAACTTCTGCAATCTGAAAAAAACAGCATTTTCTATTGCTTGGTCGGGAGCCTCATGCATACCTACCTCATTTCACTGATCGCATATCATTTTCTGTTTTCATGTCTTTCTCACTCCCCAGGTTCTAAGCTCCTATGAGGAAGTACTTTAAAGAGTGATCAACTATTGCTGTAAAAGAGGTCGTGAAATAAGAGAATGAAGGGAACCAGCCTCCATGTATCAGATGCTGCCATGAACATCTCATTTATTTTATCTCATTGAATCCTAACCAAGATTATATGAAGTAGGTATTATTTTGCCCCTTTCCAGAGAAGGAGATAAAGGCCCAAAGAATTTAGGAATTTGGATCACCCTGAGCAGCCCCCAGCACATAGTAAATGCTAATAACTAGAGAATAAAAGAACACACAGTCTATAGTAATTTCTTTAAAGGCAAAACTAAGTGAAGAATTGAGCTTATTATCTGGAGAATTAAAGCAAAAAGCACCTTGTTATGAGGATGAGATTGAGAGTAGAAATGGGAATAGGTTGTTTACTTTACTTTTTCCTTTTTGTCCTGAATTATTTTAGATGGCTATATGAGTGTCTGGATTCATTTGCATTAAAACCCCTTGAGAATTTTTATAGGTTGAACCAAAACAGAATAATGAAATGAACCCTCCTGGGTAGAAAGGCAGAAACAGACATGAAAGATGATTTCTCTGAATTATTTGGTCTTTATAGGAAGAACCATGATGAGCTTCTAGAAAATGCATTATTGATGTGATGTAATAAGGTAAGCTTTCTTTTTTCTTTTCAAATAATGACTTATTTTATATTAACTGTGGTATGAAATATTGCCACTAAAGGTTGTTCTCAGCACAAGTGAATTGTATTTGATTTCATACCCTGCCTTTTCCAACTATTTCAATAGCTCTCATGTTTTGTCAACGAGGTTTTATTCATGTCATTATTCGATTTCTAGTTCAGCATGGATTCAATGGATTCAAGAGATTTTTCTTCCCCAAATCATACCCTCTCTTCCCTACATTGAGTTTCCTTTGATTTCTGAGTAGTTCCTGGTCAGTTCACGCTTACCTCTGTATTTCATTTCATTTCCTTCTATATAAAAATAACACTCTTTAATTGTGCTACAGTTGAAAAATAGATGTTTCAAAATAATTAAGTATTTTTATTTTAAAAGACAGCCTCTACCTGAAATACATTAAAATCCACAGCCCTGTTCTCCTATTTTATATACAAATCCCACATGCATTCAACATTGTTATTGGGGCACCAGGACAAACAAACTCAAAATCCAATCGATAATGGGAGAGTGGTTAATTAGGGCTTGATATAAAATTTACAAATCTAAATTATGCAAATATTAATGTTCTTCCCTTTCGTTCCTTCTCATTACCATTCAATAATGATTTATTTGTTGAATATTTAGCATTCAGTTGGCACAAACATAAATACATATTGAGTGAATGTCCATTTTCTTCCTTTCTACAGCACAGAGTCTCATATGCCAGGCATTGTGCTAGACACAGTCTCTGTTCTCTTGGAGATTAAAGCCTAGAAGGACGGCAGATGAAGTCACACTAATGAATGTACAATTACAAATCAAGATGAGTGCCCTAAAGAAAAGGATATGGTCGGAGGAATTTCTCCGGGCATATTTGCCAGACTTTTCGACTGTGGTCTCTGGCAAGTCTGTAGCCTACCTGGGCTGCCTGTGATCACACTGAAACATTTTCCCTGCTAAACACTTGAGATGAAAAACTCGCTAGACTTGACCTGGCCTGAATTTCAAAATTCAGTTGGAAAATCTTCTGCTTCTACTGTTAACACTGCAACACATTATATTTTCAGGTCTAAAATAAGGAGTTTCATCTTGGAGGTGACTGCCTGCCTGCCAAGGCTTCATTTAGAACATGTGGTCCCAAGTGTTTGAATATCCACAGCAAATGGGGGTGAGGAACAAGCACTAGAGAAAAATCTTCAAGTGTGTGGCGATAGCGAGGCAACATAGTGTACAGGGGCCTTGGCAGCAACGCACGGCGCTCCCTGGACAACTCTGTCCTGTTTCACCATTGCTCATAAAGAAGCTCCTTTTGCGTGTGTGCACATGCACACACACACACACACCTTCACATCAAATGAATACACTTAATTAGAAACATTAGGAAAAAAGTGATAAAGCAAGGTGCTTGAATCCCTTAGGAAAACTTAAACCCAAGGAATGAACTGAAGGAGTAAAATGAAAAATTGGCCTTTTGGCAAATATTCATGGTCAAGGTAGACATTGTACTTGGGAATGATTGACTGGGTTTAAGGTTTAGTGAGTTCATGTCAGGTACTTGATGACTTCACATGGGACAAGTATCATCTTACCAAATTGCAAAAAAAAAAAAAAAAAAAACAACTCAGAAAGTTAAGTCACTTATCCAAGGTCACTGCACTTCTAAGTGGCAGACTAAATTTAAACTTGCTTGTTCAGAGTTCTTTTCCCATCATCATTTTAGGAAAAGATGTTGAAATTAAAAACATGATGAAAAATCCAGAGTTCATCTTGTGATTGCTGGAAAGGCTTATAGAAAGGATCCTGGATGAGGAATGAAAGGTCTTATGTCCTCGTTGCCAATATAATAGTTCGCCACATAAAGGACAAGCCATCCTTCTTTAGAGAGAACCAGTTATTTCTAGGGCAAAAAACAAGGCCCTTGCAAAACTGAAGGCATGGCCCATGAAAGTAATAACTGATAACCTGGACTTCATTAAAATTAAAAACTTCTGCTCTGTGAAAGACATTGTCAAGAAAAAGAGAGAACAAGTCACAGACTGGGGAAAAGTATTGCAAAAGAAACGTCTAATAAAGGACTTCTATCCAAAATATACATAAAATTCTTAAAATGTAACAATAAGAAAACAACTCAGTTAAAAATGGGTCAAAGAGTTTAACAGACACCTCACCAGAGAAAACACAAAGATAACAAGTAAGGGTATGAAAAGATGTTCTACATCATGTATCATCAGGGAAATGTAAACTAAAATAACAATGAGTTACTTATTTTACACCTATCAGAATGGCCAAAATCCAGAACACAGCCAAAACCAAATGATAGTGAGTGTAGAGCAACAGAGACTCTCATTCCTTGCTGATGGGAATGCAAAATGGTATGGCCATTTTGGAAGACAGTTTGGTGGTTATTTATAAAACTACATATACTCTTACTATACAATCCAGCAATTGCACTCCTTGGTATTTACCCAAAGGAGCTGAACACTTGTGTCCACACAAAAACCTACACACAGATGTTTATAGCAGCTTTACTCATAACTGCCAAAACTTGGAATCAACCAAGATTTACTTTGCTAGATGAACAGATACATAAACTGGTACATCCAGACAAAGGAGTATTATTCAGCACTAAAAAGAAAGGAGCTATTAAGCCATGAAAAGACATAGAGAAATCTTAAATGCATATTATCAAGTGAAAGAAACCAATCTGAAGGCTTCATACTATATGGTTCCAACTGTATGACATTCTGGAAAAGGCAAAACTATGGAGACAGTAAAAAGATCAGTGTTTGCTGGGGGTTTGGGGGGAGGGAGAGATTAATAGGGAGAGCACAGAGGATTTTTAGGGCAGTGTTACTATTCTGAATGATGCTACAGTGTTGGATATATGTCACTACACATTTGCCCAAACTTGTAGAATATACAACACCAAGTGGGAACCCTAAATTATCTCTGGACTTTGGGTGATTAAGATGTAACATTGTAGGTTCATTGATTGTAACAAATGAATCACTACAGTGGGAGATGTTGACCATAGGGAAGGTGGGGCATCTGTCCCTCCTTCTCCATTTTTCTGTGAACCTAAAACTACTTTGAAAGAAACAATAAGGTCTTTTTAAAATAAAATAAAAAACAAGGCCTGTATAATATTTTACCTCATCCAGTTCTCCAGTTGATAATCTCTGGTCCAGAATCCAGTTGGATGAGTGATGATTTTTTTCTCAAAGATATCCTTATGATTTACTCCTTCACTCTCTCATCTCTTTCCTAGTTGTTTTTTTTTTTTAATTTTTGTTGTGTCATGTTAGTTACCATACAGTACATCATTAGTTTTTTTATTTTTAAAGATTTTATTTATTCATTTGACAGAGATCACAAGTAGGCAGAAAGGCAGGCAGAGAGAGAGAGAGGAGGAAGCAGGCTCCCCGCTGAGCCGAGAGCCCTATGAGGGACTCGATCCCAGGACCTTGGGATCACAACCTGAGCCGAAGGCAGAGGCTTTAACCCACTGAGCCACCCAGGTGCCCCAGTACATCATTAGTTTTTTATATAGTTTTCCAAGATTCATTGTTTACATATAACACCCAGTGCTCCATGCAATCCGTGCCCTCCTTAATACCCATCGCCAGGCTCACCCATCCCTCCACCCCCACCCCTCTAAAGCCCTCAGTTTGTTTCTCAGAATCCACAGTCTTTTCTAGGTTTTATCCTGATTTCTGTAATAATGTGAATTACATGTTTGACAAATGTTTATTATCTTGATTCTTCTATTCCTAAGTGCATAGTGTGATCAATAGTGTGATAGCAACTTAGCATTTACGGAAAGGGAACTTTTAGGAACTTGTAGGAAAGAAACGTGTACATACTTGCTAGTTTCCAAGCAGTTTATATAATATAGAGAGCATTTAATCCTTATTACAGCAACCTAAGTCAATATTGTTATGACCATTTTACATAAAGATAAACAAAGACTCAAAATCAAGGTCATACAGCTCATGTTCCCATATACTATTTGGCATGCAGTAATTGCACTGTAACATCTAAATCTGCCACGATAAGGAGAGAGTGATATTTAATGATGGTAACAGTGCCATAATATACACAATTCGGGGCTCAATTTTAGGTTGGAAGTTAATCTTCCCACTCCTGTCACCAGAGCATGCAGACCAGTAATCCTGCAAGAGGACACAGCTGGCAGTGCCACCACACACAGCAGCAGCAGCAGGGGTCGGGGTGAGGTGGGGGAGTGCTGAGTGGGGGTGGGGGCTGCAGCATCGCCAGCCAGTCCTCAGCTAGAAAACAATAGCTAGATGAGGACAACAACGACAACAACAACAACGGGCAATAGCTAAGGACTGCAGAAGGGGTTATTCCTCCATAATGAAGCACGGAAGGAAATGGATCAGATTCCCCCAGAACCAGACCATTAGGCTTGTTGGTTAAGAGTTATTACCAGTTACGCAGTGAGTGGGGTCTGGACATTGGTATTAAAACCTCTTGCGTATCCTTTAGAACATATCAAATATAACCATAGTTATTCCATCAACGTGTACATGATTCTCATCAAAGAGTAAGAGCTAACTATCTCTACAAATTTGATTATCATCTCATAAGGGCCTAAATTAAAGCACCTCATGCAGGTGTTTTGTTTTGTTTTGTTTTACCCCTCAGGGGTGCTGAAATAGCACCAGATGCCACTAGATGGCCGCTGAGAACAGAACCTTAGTTTATTCACCATGATGACTGGGTACAAATGGCTGTTAAGCATTGAGGCAAGGTGGAATTGTTCTGCCTAATCAGGGAGGAAATTATTTTAATGAGATGAGAAGAGGAGGGAAGAAGAGAGCCAGTGGATGCTGTCAGAGGAGAAGAAGAGGCTGGCGTCCAGAGACCATACCGCCAGAAGGTAACTTTAAAGAACAGAATTGGCCAGTACTGAGCATCTGGGTGGGTGCGGGGTGCAGACAGAAGCAAGAGGTTGGGGGAGATGGCACATCTGGCCCAGGTGAACCTTGCCTGTGGAGGCCATCTCTGTCATCACTCAGAGTCGAGATTCTGATGTCTCACAGGAGGAAAAGGGGCAAGACACAGAAGAAAAACAGAAAGAAAGAAGGAAAGAAAATGTTGGGAGCACAGCCCCAGCCGCAGAGTTGTTTAATTTCTTTCTGGATGGGTAGAATTCGGCATTTGAACCCAAGTCCCTCTGATCTCCAAGCCCTGCATGGTCTACTAAAGTGCAAGCATACACTCTAATCCGTAGTTCTAAAAGTCAGCCCACCATGTAAACTCAGTCCCTGGTGGTGATGGCAAGAAGCAGAGCAAACTGTAATGGTTCCCATGACAGGGAAAACACCAGAAGTGTCAGAAACTCTTTCCCAGCATCCCCCCAAATTGCTCCAGACTACTGCTTAATCTTGCTTTCCACTTCCAGGAATAGCTGTAGTCTGCAGCATTTCATGCTGTCGCTTGTCTCCCTCTGGGCTTCCCTTTTGCTTCTCTTTTCCACCCACCCAAGTCCTTTGTGTTCTTTGCTTCCCTGCTCCCAACATCCCACCCCCTTCAAGAGGGCTTCCCAATTCCCTTCTTGACTCTGCTCACTCTCCCACACTTCTGTTGCCTGTCTCGGGTCTGAGGTCGACTTTAGCCATCTGTGCATCCCCCCAGCCCAATAGATCCAGCACAGTACAGAGCATGTAACAGTTTCCCAATAAATAATGTTTACATTGAACTTAAAGATGATGGGTCTCTAACTTTTTTTGCAGCTAACTTCAATAGCCCCCAGAGGTTTCTCCTACTAAACAATAGGAAAATCAGATTTCAGTGGTCTAATGCAGAATTCGAATGCAGCAAACCCAGCATAGTTGTCTTGTAATTGGCGCCTATGACTCTTGGTGCTTGATTTAGAAGTTGCCTGCCCGACCAGATTATATGTTTACATTGGAGACAATTAGGAGGATGAAATGATGCTGGAGAGAAGAAGTCCTACTGATTCTGTTTCAAGCACTCAGCCCATCAACTGGGTCTGTGTGCCAGCCAGATCCAGTGCAACAATAACCAAGGCTTGAGGCTTTCTGAGGTGAGCCCTGAGCTCAAGTGGGCACAGTACAGGGGGCCCAGTGGTTGCTCTGGGAGATGCACCTGCTTAGATGCCACTGGAATTTCCATTTTTTTGGCAAATGTCCTCATATTAGCTGGCACCACAACTCCAACAGATTCCAGAAGGGGCTGTCTGCACTGCCCTCAGGCTCATAGCTAGCAGACCTGTTCTGCAGGAATCTAGAAATGCAGTGCCTGTCTCTCCTTAACATCTTAATTGGCACAGAGGAGATTTCATCTTCCCGAAAAGGCCACAGGGAGGCAGACAGCAGTGTGGTAAATAAATAAAGCATCCTGACCATTGAGATGGTAACTGTTTATCCCATGAGCACTTATACCAAAATGGAAACAAACAAAATCACGAAGTGGTTTATGTCCTTATTTGTTATTGCCAACATTATTCTTTTACAGCCACACTTGTTTTCCTTTCCAAAGGCCCCATTGTGCTTCTCAGATGTCTGGGCACTAACAGTTCTAAAAAAGAGCGGATACTTTTGAGTGACATATCTTATCCCTGCTTCAACAGGCTTCTTTAAGTTTAGCATCATTTGAACTTGAGGTAGAAAAAATGATAAAGGGAGGGAGGAGCTAGAAAGACAGACCGGGGTAAAAGTCAGAGACAGGGTGGCGCCTGGGTGGCTCAGTGGGTTAAAGCCTCTGCCTTCGACTCAGGTCATGATCTCAGGATCCCGGGATCGAGCCCTGCATCAGGCTCTCTGCTCGGCGGAGAGCCTGCTTCCTCCTCTCTCTCCGCCTGCCTCTCTGCCTACTTGTGATCGCTGTCTGTCAAATAAATAAATAAAATCTTAAAAAAAAAAAAAAGTCAGAGAGCCAGAGAGAAAGACAGAGAAAGAGAAAGACACAAGGAGGGAAAGAAGTAGTGTTAGAGGCATAAACAGAGACAGTGTGGTGGATACACAGATGGAAACACAGAACATGGCAGAGCAGACAGGCAGACCACTATGGCTGGTCTAAGATAGCCTCCCCACTAGCCAGTGCCAGGGGGTAAATCATGCCCAAGACTTTTTTTCCACACAAGCAGCACTCTCTCTGTTCTCGCCACCCACCCCTTCATTCCCTCCCCCAAAACACACCAGCCATCTAAGACTCCTGTGTCCCTAACTGTGACCCAGCCTGGGGCTGGCCTTGACAAGGAGATGCTTCACTGAGTAATAGAGTAAAAAAGAGAGTCAAGGAAGAAGAATACAGGAAAACCGCTATGGGGAGAAAAAAAGGAAGGGAGAGGAGATAGGTGATGTGTAGCAAGGATTTTCATATTACAAAGTACGCCTGCAGGGAGTGGGTTTGGGCAGGGAGAGCAAGGGTTATCTCCCTGCCTCAACTGACTTCCGGAGGGTGAGAGTGGGGGCCTTTTCTGTCTCCCTGCTTTATAACTCAGGTGCCAGCCATCTGGTGACCTCTTAGTTCCCCAGCATTTAGGGCAGACCCTTCCTTTCAGTAGTCAAGTGATATGGCTTCTATTTAGGGAATACATGCTTAAGTTTATAGATTTCAAGTGTCATGATGTCCTGCAACTTATATGCCAATGGCTCCACAAAAAAGTAGTAACATAAACTATAAAAATTAAAATCATACATAAATAAAGCAAATGTGGCTAAATGTTAACAATCTTGACTGTGGTAAGCATACAAGAAGTCAGAACGATATTCATTCAACATTTCAGGACATTTAAACTTTTCATTTATAAGAGGTTGGAATTTAAAAAAAAATAATAATAAAAAGGAAGAAATGAGTAAGTAGAAGGCCTTGCTCAGGGGGGAGGAAATGAGTGCACTCCCTGTATTTCTTCAGGGCTCACCTGCTCTGATTTCCTGTGCCTGCCCCTCCATTATGCTATCATCCTGTTTGATGGTGCCCCCTCTCTTTCCCACACATAGACCCAAGCATGGACTACAGCCCCTTCTTCCTTGATTCCCACAAAACTCCCATGCAAGACAGGTGTGTGCCATCACTTTGAGCATGGAGCAATGATTGGGGCCAGGCTTACCTCGCACACATCATAGCATATGGACTACTCTTAAATCAAACCTACAAACACTGTTTGCCTTTATGGTTTTCAAATGTGTATACGCTTTAACATCTTATACTTGTAGTAATATTTTCAATAAAGCAAGACAACTAAAGGGTGCTGTTTCGAGAAGTGCCCTGGCCAGTCCTTCCACCAGGAAAGCAAGCTTCACTTTTTCTGCTGGTCATCTCTTCTCATGACCCAGACTCCTCAAGAATCAGCCTCCTCCCAGCCAGCAGATTCTCTTTCCTCCTCCATTCCCTCCCTCTCTGTGTCCACACAAACTCTGAATTCAACTCAATTTTTCATGCAGAACAACTTCTCTCTATAGTCTGTCCCCAGCTTCAAAACCCTAGGTCTGTCTGGGTGGTAGAAGAGGGAGCTGCATTCTGTAGAACCACAGATCTATTAATTCATTTGGTTAAGCGAAAGATCATTTGCCCCCTGAGAGCAATTATGCTAGCATAGGGCAGAAACATCCATGTACTGTTTATTTTAAAGAGCAATTTAAAAAATTCTTGCTACCCTGAACTGTGGCTTCACCAAAGAACCCTATTTAAAATGTGGCAAACACTCAATAGCAATTTGTATGGGAACTTTGTCTGCAAAGCTAGCTGCAGAAAAACCATCCTATTTAAAATGAGCTATAAGAATGCTACTGTCATTGTGTTTTCCTGGGTCACTCCTCTGGGAGAGGACATTTGAAGCAAAGTAAAGAAGTCTACCTCCGCCCCATTTTCCCAGCCTGGTGATCTTTCCCACTATCATTGGGATTTGACTAAACACTCCAGCCAACAGCCTTCTTCTGTCTGCTCTTCTTTGGGGGCTTACTTTGTTCTTTTTATGCCAGGGTCCCGGGCCTGTCCTGGATCTCACCTGTTACTGGAAAATCAGCTTTACCTGCATTGTCTCTGCATGGTCCAAGCTGTTTGGCTTCATGTGAGCAGGACTCAGTGACTTCCATCCCGTGTATCATTTTGCCAGACCCAGCTTTCACAGGCAACATGAAAGCCTTGAGGACCATCAGCTCTGCCCTGTCATTTCTTCCTCTGCTATCCCAACTCCCACAAGACGTTTCTTACCAGAGAGGCTTATTTAAATTCTCCATTTTGAAGGAAACCAGTGAACTCATGTACTCTCTGCTTTGCTTCTGGAACTTCATACCATCAGAAAGAACTGTAGAACCATTGCTGGTCTATGATGAACCAAAGACCTCCTCCTCCCGGACAAAACCACCTTGGAGTCTTTTCCTTGCCGTAAAATGGAAGCTTCAGGACAATAAGAAGTAGAAACTTGTTCAAAGGTCTCACTCCCCCATCCCCTATTAAACGAAGGACGAGGGGATATTTAAAGAGCACCCGCAGTCTGGATAAAGGAGAACTTCTTCAGATGCAGATCCTTCGGGGCCCAGACCTGCATGGAGCCCCACTGAGTGGGTGATGGTCCTTGCAGTAGCCACACTCTGTAAGTAACCAGCACGACACTTTTCAGGGCAGGATGGCTGCCTCCAACCTCTTGCTATTTCCATTCAGGCCAAAAGTTATGATCATAGTCTTACCAGATTTGGGACACTATGGGATAAATGTTATTCTAATTTTAGTAAAAACATAAAAACATGATTTCCAGACAAACAGGCTTTTAACTTAGGGTTTGGAAAAGTTACATGTTCTCATTCATTGTTATTGCTGTCGCCCTGCAGAGGGGAATTTAGACCTTCTTGAACTTTTCCTACAAATCTGCAATTAATAGCCACAACCTGTTAACCCTCTTTCCCAT